CTCTCAATAAAAACACGAAATAACCAAAATGTATAATAACATTAGAAAAAAATGAAACAAAAAAAATATGATGAATATATCATTGTTGTCAAACCAAAATCTGCTATGTGCACTTTTTGAGATTTTTACTTTTTGACCTTTTCGTATAGTTCACAACCCTATCTACCGTATAAAAAAACTGTTATATGTGCTTTCAAATCAAAATCAAATCAAATCAAAAAAAATTTATTTTTACTCAACTCAAAATAGAGTTTTTGCACATAGCAGAATTTGGTTTGACAGCGACGATATTTATCATCATCATTCTTCTGCCCTTCTCCCGGTCACCTGGGGTCGGCGCAACACGTTTTCTGCTTCTATACTCTTCTATCATATACAATTTCTTCGCTCACTCCCCTTTTACACATATCGTCTTTCACGCAATCCATTCATTTTTTCTTCGGTCTACATCTTCCTCTAAAGCCTTTTACATTCTTATTTAAAACTCTCTCACCAACCTCATGATGAATATATTTATATTGACATTTATTAATTAAACTGCACTAACACAATGACCGTCTACAAATTTGGATTTAGAAATAAATAGCTCGTCTACATTTTGAACTGCTCCGAAACTCGATGATAGAAACAAATTATAATTTGCGTAATTTACTGATGGTAGGACCTCTTGTGAGTCTGCACGGGTAGGTACCACCACCCCGTCTATTTCTGCGGCGAAGCAGTAATGCGTTTCGGTTTGCAGGGCGGGGCAGCCGTTGTAACTATACTCAGACCTTAGAACTCATATCTCAAGGTGGGTGGCGGCATTTACGTTGTAGATGTCTATGGGCTCCAGTAACCACTTAACACCAGACGGGCTGTGAGCTCATCCAACCATCTAAGCAATAAAAAAAATATAAAAAAATCGACTGTCAAAAGCAGAGGCGAAAATTTTACGAAGCTGTATTGTGTTTGACTATTTATATGTGGATAATACTCGTTATAATCCATATTATTATTATTGAATATCAATCGTTAAACTTATATTAAAATTAACAGAAAGCTGATTAGAAGATTCTTTACTATAAAAACGCATAATTTGCTAGATAGTCCATTTGAAGAACATCACGAGAAATACAATTGTTCATTCAGACTGCCAATTCATTACGGGCTCTCCTCGGCTGGCTGCGGAAAAATGAACGAAGCGAAAAAAAAACAACAAGTAATACATGAATTTTAAACGATTAATCCCGAGATGAAAAATTGACTTATTCCCGTTGTCTGAAGCTTATAAAAGGGAGTGGCGGAGCAAACATGAGCGAGTGGGCCGGACTTGGAAGGTACCAGTCGAAATGATAGTGGATGTCAGAAGAAGAGAGCTTTTGCGGTAGGCAGCGGCTTGGCTCTGCCCCTGGCATTGCTGAAGTCCATGGGCGACGGTAACCACTCACCATCAGGTGGGCCGTGCCCTCGTCTGCCTACAAGGGCAATATAAAAAAAACTCAACCATTCCATCCACCTTACTCTATCTTTATCCCAGTGCGGTGTCGGCGCAAAATGTCCCCTTTTTCCATTCAGGTCTTTCTCTCATATATCCTCTTATACACAATCCATCCACAAGTATTTGTATGACGCCCCCTCCTCACATTATGGTGTACTTGCCCACTGAGTTTCTCGCCGGATCTTCTCAGTGGGCCCTGATTCTGATCAGGTGGTAGATTCTGCGAAGCACTGCTCTTGCTAGGGCTAGTGTTGGCAAATTCTCTCAAGTTAAGCTCGTGAGCTCACCTACCCGTCCAGGCGTATTTGGATTAGCCTCTTAGACTAATAGCGAATAGGTAGGGGAAGAAACCGTGTACTTATCGAGCTCATTCATCTCACTTAAGGGAAGTACCAAAGGCAATGATTTGATATAACCGTGAAAACTAACCAATATTAGCACATTCAGTTTTAATCCGGTATGTCTTAATAATAGGTGTCTTAATAATTTGCGGTAGGCAGCGGCTTGGCTCTGCCCCTGGCATTGCTGAAGTCCATGGGCGACGGTAACCACCCACCATCAGGTGGGCCGTATGCTCGTCTGCCTAAAAGGGCAACATAAAAAAAAAAACGTCCCACAAAATTGTGTCCAAAACTCGCAAAAAGATATTGAGAAAATAAAGTCCCAAAACGTCACACTGAATCTTACCCTGTACAAAACGGGGCCCGTACTAACCTCAAAGTTTGTTCAGATAACAGAGCAAGCTTTTTCTGTTGGCCATTTCGAACGGTTTCGTTAAAATTAGATTCAGTATAATCTAACTAATGAAATTGAATCGTACCGAAAATATATTTAATAAAAAATATATTGCTTAAGTGGGTGGACGAGTTCACGGCCCACCTGATGTTAAGCGCTTACCGGAGCCCACTTTTTTTTTTATTGAAAGATTACTGGTGTCCCGAAGGCCTTTCCAGTTTCACCAGGACAAGTGGGCGAGCAAATGCTCAGCCAGGAGGGGTGGGATTTGCTAACAACTGCCCGAGCTCCTCCAAAGGAGACCTAACAACTCAAGAGCAATTGCTTCGCGAATGAATCTACTACCGAATCGGAATCGCAACCCCCTGAAAAGATCCGGCAAGAAACTCAGCGGGCTGATGTATGGGTTAGGTGACAACGTAAATGCCGCCACCCACCTTGAGATAAAATTGGTAAAGTCTGCGACTATTGCGATTTAATCAGTTACTACAGTACTCACTCCTCGGAAAGCACATGTGAGAAATCCCCGCGTTATATGGAGGAATGCCCGTGTTATACGGGACATTGAAATCGCGTAATATAAAAACGCTATATAATCGTACCGCGTTCTAGAGGGGTTACCGTACTTTGATAATGACGGACCACCATACAAAAGTTCATCCCTTATTTTACCTCCTTAATAGTGAAATTTCCAAGAATTGGTTCTTGGTGGAAGCTTGCTATAACGTAAAAGGTGTCAACTACCAGAATCTCCAGCTTGCAGTCACAACGGTTTAGGCTCCGTGTTGATGGAACAGTCAATCGAGATAATTATTTACGTGTGAGCCTACTTTTTTATACCATAGCATTCAACTTAATTTAGCGATAAATTAAAACAGTCGCAAAACTTTGCTTGGATCCTCAAAAAATCCACAAGTCTCCCAGCTACGGCTGTTGAATAATTTATAACTCGAAGGAAGCTCTGTTCGTATTGACATTGTGTAATTAAAAAGCTTTCCATTGCTTTCGGTACGTACGTTCGCTTATGAGTAGTGGATATACTGTTGTTGGCAACGGACTTATAACAGATATACAAGTTTTTACTAATAAGTTTTTGTGTAATTCTTCGTTATTAATTTAAAAAAAGGGTTTTACGTAGCTAAATCGACTGGGCGATTAGTGGTTCTTATACGGTACGTAGCGTGGGTAGGCCTCCCATAAGACGGTCCGACGACCTATTGAGGTTCGCGGGGATCCGCTGGATGCAAGCAACTCAGGTCCGATCTTTGGAGCCAGGCTTGGGGGAGGCCCATGTCTGGCAGTGGACGTGTGTGGGCTGATAGAATACGATACGAATAGTGTCTGTTCCGCCACGAGGCAGTCATGTGGTCTGGTTTGAAGAGTGGGACGGCCGTTACACAATGCAATCGACTCTTCGACCTCATGTTTCAAGGAAAGTGGCGGTGTTCACATCCCTTTTAACTCAAAGCGAACCGTGGGCCCGATTTACACTCTAGACAAAAAAATTACCACACTCATAACGCATGTTGCCTTTAGCAAAGGCACTTTTTAAATAGTCCTTGAAAAGAATTATCAGGTATCTTTCTTAATCGCGTTTGGCCATTAGTGACCTCTGCGATCCTGGGCTCTAGCTTTGGTTCTCGATTGGACTAAAGCTAAGCTTTGCTAGTCTTCAGGTAATCGGAGGTCTTAGTGCATTTCGTCTTGATACAGCTTGGGTAATTCCTTGGCAATAAACTAGCGGAGCCCCAGTTAGGTTAAGGTAAAAAACCTAAATCTACTCGCGCGTTATCTATCTGTTATATCTTGACGGTATTGTCACAGAAGCCGTTCTTGGGAGTGCCAACAATAACTGGTCCAATTTTCGTGACAGTCAACGTAGTAACGAAAAGAGAACAAACATACAAAGGAATATAATTTCCATATAAACATTCATAATTCACCCTCTTTAAGGGCCCGATTCCCTATCAAAAGGAGCATAATTTTGAAAAACCCCGATAAGCGTGTACATTTATTTTTAACCAAATGCGGGTACATAAAAATTCGTGGTCCTCGTTTTGAAAATGACAAAAGCTTCCCCCCTTGGCGGTATAATTTCTCATATTTTTTCTTTGTTGAATGCTTAGATAGAGAAAGGTCCCAAATACCAAATTATCAGGTCGGCTTAGGTTCATCCATGATATCTAGTAGTCTGACAAAGCAAACAGTATTATATAATGCGGACCGACACAATGACTACTTCCCGTGTTTTCGCTTTCGACTTTTAGTCTTATTCCTTCAATTTCGAGACGAAAGTAAGCTTTTCCTCGCTCTCATCTGTCCTCCGCCTTAATAAAGCTCTCAATCCGAGGTTAACACGCAACCCAATTTTTACAAGGTTTTGGTTTGGTTTTTGTATCAGCCAATATTTATTCTACAAATAAACACTTCAACCATTTGCGATTTCTGTGTTCGCATGTGTACGTATTTCAGATGACACTGATATTATGCTGGTGCTGAGCTGGTCTGATGATGAGCTGCTAATATTCATAACGGAAGCCTGTTGTGGGAAATATTTTTTTTGGTCCAAGAAGCGGTTGCTCTTTTTGGCACCAGCCTAATTAACATGCATTGTTGACAATTGATATGGTGACAGACAAATTGAAATAAATGATTTGATTTGAAGTTCTTGTGAGTATTCGTGAGTACGTGTGATATTATGTGTATCAGAGGGTACTTTGTAGTGTGGGCACTTAAAAATCTCCGTGAGTACTTGTGCGCATTGTGGAAGTAGTTGAGTCCGTACCTGAGTGGCTGTGAGGGCGCAGCCCCGGCCGGAAGCGGCACGGCGGAGGGCTCCGGGATCAGTACCGCACCCGCGCCTTCCTCCATCGCCGGTTCCTTCACGTCTGCACAACGAGCTCCTAGACATACAGACAAAGTTCATACTCAAAATTGGTTTACTTTTTTTTACTACCTATGCTGATAGCCTTAGAGGCTATTTCAGCTTCACCTTTACGTGTAGGTGAGCTCACGGGGTTCAAACCGGGGGTGTTGTTAACATTTTATTTATTTATTTATTTATGTACACACAAAAAGAAGACATAGTACAGATTATAGGTAATAGGAAAATTATGTACAAAGGCACTGCTTATTTCTTTAAGAAATCTTTTCCAGCAGACCTGCGAGAGGATTATGAGAATAATAATTAAGTGATGAGTGTGTGTAGAACAGCTAAAATAACAAATACAACATAAGAATTATAGTAATGCACATACACACAGCAAATATTGTTAAACTTGAATACAAAATATTATAAATAAAACAGTATATACGAAGAGTATAGTACAATGATCATTCGGTTGATGAGAGATAGAATTGTTTGACCTTGTATTTCAAAATAGAAACAGACTTGCAAACTCGCCCTTGGCCTTAGCAAGAGCAGTACTACGCAGAATTTACAATTTACAATAGGATCGGATACGCGACCCACTGAGAAGATCCGGTGAGAAACTCACTTGGCTGTGTGTCTATAGGTTAATTTACTCGCCGAACCCTTCGTCGCAAGCGATGGGTTCGAGCAACTCATTCCCACTTTGTGCAATATTCTAGATAATCATTGACTTTATAGTAAGCATGTCTCTAGCTGTAGTTAGGTAAGTGAGGAGTAGTCGTGGGAGGTGGGTGTGGTGGTTACCCTGGGAGCGCTGCAGCCGCGTGGTGACGCCGGCGGGCAGGTCGGGCTCCGGGGCGGCGCGCTGCGGGTTCCGCGTCGAGCGACGCTGCCGGGGTTTGCGCAGCAGCTGCTTGTAGTTCTCAGACTTCTTCGATAAATAGTAGAATCTGTACACGACACTAATGCGCTTAGTGCGAGTGATTTAACGTTCTCGAGAGCGTAAAAGTTAACTCGAATTTGTATTGAGTCGGAACGTTTGCCTGCGTTTGCCGCTAGGGGCGCTGTTCTAACTGCATATAAATTCGAGTTAACTTTGCGAGCTCTTTAACGTTCTCGATAGCGTAAAAGTTAACTCGCATTTGTATGGAGTCAGAACGTTTGCTTGCGTTTGCCGCTAGGGGCGCTGCTCCAACTGCATACAAATTTGAATTAACTTTTACGCTATCGAGAACGTTAGAAAACTCGCACTAAGCACACCGAACTTTATACGCGAACTGGGGGATTAGTGGGCCAGCTGACAACACCCTCATGTCAGCTGGTCACCATTAAAGGTATACCCAACTTGAAGCACAATATTGATATCTTAAATACATTCATTAAACTGGAAGGAATGATTGCTTCGCAACAAATAGATATAAACAAGTTGCTGGTTACAGATTGAAGCAATCACTACAAAAAAACGAAAATAATATACACATAAACTTATGTTATAGTAACCGGCAAACTTCGTGAGCAAATGACCTTGACTGCGCAGAACCGAATTTTAGGTCACTTTGGTGGTGAGGGTGAGGCGCGACGGCAGGGGAAATCGTATCGAGCGCGTTATTGGTAGATCAGTCGAACCTTGCGTCCCGCACCGCGCCTTCGTTCCGCTTGCTCCCAAAAGTACGCTTGCGTACAGTGAAAAGTCTATCGTTATTAATCGTTAAGTTATATTTTGTTATAATTGCTTGTTGACTTTGTTGCCATTGCTATTTGTTGAGTGTTTGTTGATTTTTTATAAAAAATACACTATGCCGCGACAAACTGGTGTAGTATTCAAAAGAAAGGGTAGAAAAATTGTGTACGACGTATATTGCTTCATTATAAAACAGGGGAAGAATGATATTATGGAAAAAGTAAAACAGACTTCGGAAGCAACAAAAACATCAGTGAGTACTGTTAGGTGCATTATTAACGAAGCTAAAGGCTCTGGCTTGCTCATCGTGCTTGGGACTCCGGGTAAGAAAAGATCAGGGAAGAAGAAAGTTACCGGAATGGATAGTTTCGTTCAATCTGTAATAAAAAGATGTAATCATAATAACTACATAACAAGCAGCGAAACTCCGTACCGTAGAAAGGCTTCGAAAATTTTAAAGAAGATATACATTTTAATGGCTCGGAATGAAGTTTACGACGAATTATGAAAGAGCTAGGCTTCAGATGGAAAAAAAAACAGAAAATAATCGGAAGCTGGTAATTGGAAAAAGTAACATTCGATTACTATGAATCGAATATCTTCAAAAAATAATTAATTATAGATAAAAAAGAAGATCGAACCGACCGAGTCGTAACCTACACCGATGAGCCCTATGTCGACTTATCACGATGATGGCGACTCGGGTGATGAAAACAGTGATGATGATAATGGTCAAGATTATGATAACGAAAAAAAAATTACAAATACCAGCTTCGCTTTAACTGAACGAAGACCTGGCAACAGCTCTAGTTTTGACTTAATAGAAGGAATATCTATTTTACCCCAAGATTAAATTATTAACCTATATTTTTTGTTGATGTTCTAATAAATATATAAATAAATACATATGTTGATTTTAATAATTTAATTGCATTATGACGCAGAGTAAATAATGTTTTTGCACGTGAGTGTACCATGCGCAAACTTACCCCCACTACGTCAACAAATGCTCAAGAAGTTTGCCGGCTATTATACTGGTAAGGAGTATTTTAAATCTGCAAGGATAAGTACCACCATCCTGTCTATTCCTGCCGCGAAGCAGTTATAAGTTCTGGTTTGGAAGGTTCGCATAATCTTTATAGAATAGAATATTGTGACTTTATTGAGACTTCAAATCTCAAGGTGACGTTCATATTGTGATCTGTATGGGTTCCATTAAAACAGTAGATAGACCCTGATCTCAGGCCAAGCTCAACACCAATCACAGCGCGTGTTGTCATATGTGACTAAGGGTTATAAACAATTAGTGTACGATCTATGATTAGCTCATCATTATTAGCCCAAAATGACGTCCACCCATAATGCAAATGCGTAATGTTTTTTACTGGTGGTAGGACCTCTTGTGAGTCCGCGCGGGTAGGTACCACCGCCCTGCCTATTTCTGCCGTGAAGCAGTAATGCGTTTCGGTTTGAAGGGCGGGGCAGCCGTTGTAACTATACTGAGATCTTAGAACTTATATCTCAAGGTGGGTGGCGCATTTACTTTGTAGATGTCCATGGGCTCCAGTAACCACTTAACACCAGGTGGGCTGTGAGCTCGTACACCCATCTAAGCAATAAAAATAAGACGAGATGCGTGAAGTTTGAAAAATTTTCCGGTTCTCTATTCAAAATAGCCAACGCACTAACCTTACGCAGTCTCTGACATTCTTCCTGGGTAAGAACGAGGCTATCGTTCCGAAGTTCTTGGGGTGCTGAAGGTACTTCTCCCTGAAGAGCTCCCTCTCGTTCTGCGACCAGATGTTGCGGAGCTGTAGCTCCTTGTGCTCCGACTTCATGTCGAGACATCGCCCCGGGATCAAGGCTAAATTCGGGTTATTGGACATGTTCATTCATCGGCATGGCTTTATGGTATAACACTTGTTTTTGGGCACATTCATTCAAGCATCCTTGATGATGATCGGAATATTCTTATGTTTTCAAACAATTAAACTTTTATGAAAACAATGCTTGAGGCATCAGACATGAGGTCGAGATTTGAATTGTATTACGTATCATCTGTCCTGTGCCCTTCCAAACGGAATGTATGACTGTTTCGCGACAGAAATAGGCGGTATGGTGGTACCTATCTGTGCGAGGTAACTTCATGATTTTACCGCACCAAATCCTAACAGGTAATTTATTACTGGTGGTAGGACGTATTGTGAGTCCGCACGGGTAGGTGCCACCACCCTGCCTATTTCTGCCGTGAAGCAGTAATGCGTTTCGGATTTAAAGGCCAGGCAGCGATTGTAACTATACTGAGATCTTAGAACTCATATCTCAAGTTGGGTGACGGTATTTACGATGTAGATGTCTATGGGCTTCGGTAACCACTTAACACCAGGTGGGCTGTGAGTTCGTCCACCCATCTATGCAATAAATAAATAAATACCTATTGGCTGGTAACTTAAGGAACTATATCAGCTTCTCGCAGACGGGTGGGTGAGCTCACGGGCTCAACCTGAGTGAATTTGCTAACACTGGCTCTAGCAAGAGCAGTGCTTCGCAGAATCTACCACCGGATCGGAATCACGACCCACTGAGAAGATCCGGTGGCGATGGGTTAGTTAGTTAGTCGAATGGCGAAGTGACGGCGACTAGTGCTTGAGGTTCCTATGTATAAGCACCGAGAGTGAATCCGGGGGATTCGACAAGACATGTTTCGGGCGACCGCGGCTTTGCGTTGCCCCACCCTTCAAGCCGAAACGCATTACTGCTTCACGGCAGAAATAGGCGAGATGGTGGTACCCACCCGCGCGGATTACAATGTTGCGGGTTTGATTTTTATTACACGATGACGTTATTCCTTCACCGTGGAAATCAATCGTGAACATTAAGTACGTATTTCTTTAGAAAAATTGGTACCCGCCTGCGGGATTCGAACACCGGTACATCACTACATACGAATGCACCGGACGTCTTATCCTTTAGGCCACGAGGACTTGAATACCGGATTCATCCCTATACTTTTTTTTATTGCCCGAGCAGGCAGACGGGCATACGACCCACCTGATGGTAAGTGGTTACCGTCGCTCATGGACGTCAGCAATGCCCAGGGGCAGAGCCAAGCCGCTGCCTACCTATACTTAAAGCGTAGGTAAAGTCTGGAGAGTCGACACTAACTGTTGGTGTCCAGGTAGATCGGCGTGGTGTCGAGCGGGTCCCGGCGGAGCGGCGGCACCACGGTGAGCGCCCTCATCTTCTTGTCCTCATGCTCCTGCTCGTGCAAGCCATCCGCCAACTCCTCCAGCTCCGCCTCAGACTTCACCCTGGCTCCGAGCCGGTGGAACCTCTCGCGTTCCTCGCGCTGCTTCCTCAGCTCGGGAAACACCTGGATCGTTATAAAAACGTTTGGTATACTGCATTTTTTTTTTATTGCCCTTGCAGGCAAACGAGCGTACGGCCCACCTGATGGTGATTGGTTACCATCACCCATGGACCTCAGCAATGCCAGAGGCAGAGCCAGGCCGTTGCCTACCGCATAATACTCTCCACAAGCCTCTTTTAAAGAAGGACATGTCATAGAGCTCGGGAAACACCGTAGAGGGGAGCTCATTCCATAGCCGGATGATATGTGGTAAAAAATGTTGTAAATATATCAAAATACAGATGCTACTGGTGATATCTCCTGATACTTAGTTATAATAACTAATCTGTTTCATTTCATTCGATTTATTAAAGCTCGGTCATTCGCTTCCCGTCACAGTTTGAATCACGTTGTTTTATTTTAAAAAAGACCTCTGGAAACGTACTGTCGATGAACGCCGCGATTCCAGACCGCAAACCAACTTTAAAAAATAACTTATTTGGATCTGGATGTCTCTGGTACAAGATCTCGTGGACGAAGCTCCATGCGCTGGACTGATCAAGTGAAAGAATTACCAAAATCCCCACCTAACGAGCGCGTGCGTCAACCTTCAGTTCGCGAGCTATGGAGAACATCTGTCAAGGCACACGCATGCCTGCCCGATTTTTAAAAAGTTAATTTCGCTGTCACTTTACAAATTACTCACAGCTTTTACGAAATGTAATAAAAGATATTTCATTGTATAGTGACGGTTATCTGGAAACTCTTTGGTTCCTTGTAGATGGTGACAGGATGGTGCAGCGTATAAATCTTATATCTTTAAACGAGCAATTCTTGTATATAAATCTATACTAATATATAAATCTACAGTGGTTTTTACGGATTTTCTGTTATAACTACTGAACGATGCATCCGATTGACTTGAAACTTGGTATCCATGTGGAAAATACATGTACTTAATGGATAGGCTAATATTTACATGAGTGTTGGACTCCCTACACCAGTTGCGGGGGCGTTAATGATGAGAATCTTTGTGGGGGTGAAAAATAATAATGTTAATTTTAAATGCCCAACGAAGCGGACGGGTACAGCTAGTAATTTCTAAAAAACTCAATTTATCAAAAAAAAAGAAAAAGAAATCTCAAGCAAAGCTCGGTCATCCTCTAGTAATAGTTACCTTCTCGAAGAATTCCCTGTTCTTCGCGTCTTTCGCTTTCCTCTTTTGACTCTGCTCGATTCTTTCGACCCTTCGCGCCCACTCAGCCGCTCGCTTCGTGTACTCATCTGCTAATACATCTTCTCTCTGCAAAATGAAAGTTTGTATTGGCCTAAGTCTCGTGCTGCGACCGATGGTGGTTCCGGAGTTACGGACACCTTTTTCTTTCCCTACCTATGCTGATAGCCTTGAGAGGCTATCTCAGTTTCTCCTTGACGTGTAGGTGAGCTCACGAGGCTCAAGCCGGAGTGTTGCTAACACTGACCCTAGCAAGAGCAGTGCTTCGCAGAATCTACCACCGGATCGGAAACGCGACACATTGAGTTTACTAGTGGTAGGACCTCTTGTGAGTCAGCGCGGGTAGGTACCACCACCCTGCCTATTTCTGCCGTGAAGCAGTTTCGGTTCGAGGGGTGGGGCAGCCGTTGTAACTATACTTGAGACCTTAGAACTTATATCTCAAGGTGGGTGGCGCATTTACGTTGTAGATGTCTATGGGCTCCAGTAACCACTTCACACCAGGTTGGCTGTGAGCTCGTCCACCCATCTAAGCAATAAAAAATAAATAATGAGAATATCCGACGAGAAACTCAGTGGGCTGTGTCCAAGGGCTTACGGACACCACAACGTGACCCTGGCTCTGGAATTAAAACGAGGTTGCTGTCCCTTGACCGGGATAAAGAATTAAGCAGAGTCACTATATCAGTGCTGGCTGAACATGCGGGACCACAGCTATGTTTAGCTCCAAAGAACTTCACTTCACTGATGTAGGTTATGTTTGTTTATGCAAAGACAATTTTATAGTATAAGCACAGTAAGGATAGACGCTGTAGGGACACAGCTATGGTTATTAAACACTACCCATTTCTAACCATATATCTAACAAGTTAGTTGACTAGAAACCCCAAAATACCGTTTTTAATTATCTGTTTACGTGTCGAGCATCACGCCAAGTATATAATCGATTAAAAATAAAACTATCGAAATAACAACTTGGAACTTTGAAACTAGGAACTATTTAGGGCGTCCTGTGAGACCGCATGGGGAGGTACAACCACCTCGCCTATTTCACCCACGAAGCAGTACCTAACGCGATCCGGTTTGAAGGGCGGAGCAATCATTGTACTATATAAGTGAGATTTAGAACTCCATATCTCCAACAAGACGGCGGCATTTGTTGATCTCTAACGTTGCGATAACCTCTTAACACCAGATGCGCCGTGCGCTTGTTCACCCGTCAAAGCAATAAACAAAATAGTAAGACCCCATCATTTATACAGATAAAAAATTGATAAATATTTTATTTCACTGCGACGACTGCAATGGGAGTTTAAACAATAAGGACATTCTAAATCTAACACTGGCTTGCTGTGTTTGACAAGCCTATAGACACAGCCCATTGAGTTTCGCGCCGGATCTTCTCAGTGGGTCGCGATTCCGATCCGGTGGTAGATTCAACGAAGCACTGCTCTTGCTAGGGCTAGTGTTAGCAAATTCTCTCAAGTTGAGCCCGTGAGCTCACCTACCCGTCCGGGCGAAGTTGTAAGAGCATCTTAGGCTACTAACTATTAGGTAGAGAAAATAAATAAAAAGAAACCTTGATCAGGGCTTGCGACAGGTAAATGCCAATTATAGCAAATAATGCAGCCTGCATTCATTAAATATTTATATTTACAATGCCATTTCAGATCGGCAAAGCTGATTCACAATTTGCATTAACCTCAATACAAACTTTAAAAAATTGTAAATATTGTTTTTTTTTCATTCTTTATATTGCTTAGATGGATGGACGAGCTCACAGCCCACCTGGTGTTAAGTGGTTACTTTAGCCCATAGACATCTATAACGTAATTGCGCCACCCACCTTGTAAATTTTGATTTAGTTAATTGATTTTCATTGTGTTTAATCACTAGAAGCTAGGCAACGACAATTACCTTTTCTGACTCAGCCTTTATTCTCCGTATATGTACGATCAATCTTTTCCTAAATAATCTGTGCTTCCTAATGTTCTCGTGGTAGACCTCCGTGTCCTGAGGCTGGTTGTACAGCGGGTACGGCACGGGGGGGCCCAGGTGGTCCAGCTGGGCGTGGGCGGCAGCCGCCTGTAGCGAAACAACATATATCTATACTAATATATAAATCTACAGTGATTTTTACTTATAGCTAATGAACCATGCATCCGACTGACTTGAAACTTGGTATCCATGTAGAAAATACATGTACTTAATGGATAGGCTAATATTTATACGAGTCTTACACTCCCTACACCAGTTGCGGGGGCGTTAATGATGAGAATCTTTGTGGGGGTGAAAAATAATAATGTTAATTGTAAATGCCCAGCGAAGCGGACGAGTACGGCTAGTGTATTCATAATAACATTCGTCTTCTCGCATTAAAATTGTACAATCTCAAAATTTACTAATTTTACAGGAGAGTAATTTAAAGGTTTTTTTAACATTTAATATTTTTAATATTATCATATTTGCAACATTTTATTTTTTAATTTTGACCAGTTACACTATCTGTCTTTAGAATTAAGATAAAATTATGTATTGATTTTGTTAATAGTAGTCAAAACATAGGGAAACTAAAAAAAAAAACTAAGCTACGCCCTTTTGACAGTATTTATGAGAAAAATACTGGTAAATGTTTTCGTATATTAACTCAATTTCGAATATTTTTGGTAATTATACACTTTTAATGCGAAAAGACGAATTATAATGTTAGTAGAAAAAATAAACACTTTTACTTTTAAAAAAAGAATGATGTTAAGTGTGTGTCTTTATTTGTCGGTTTGATTTGGATATGACTAAACCATCCAGTGTTTGAAGCTAAATATTTTATACAGTTGCAATATAAATTGACGCTCGATACGAATTTTCTTACAAATTTAGTTGATAGGCATAGGTTTCTGCCTCTGCTCACCATTATTCCGTATCCTCAGCTCTCTCTTGAAGAAACTTATGTCGTGACGCTCAGAAAATACGGCTCATTTAAGCATGTGCGTGTGTTTTAAACAATTTTAACACAGGACAACTACGATGTCCAGTGTTCAAATTGTAAATCCAGTGTTAAAAAAAAGACTCCGATGCACTAAGCTATATAGAATAGTTCTCAGGTCATCAAACCCAAAGCGTTGTATACAATGATATTTTATATGTAAAAAGAAGCAGATATGTTTCAAGGGCACGTCAAGTGAAGACTCGAAAACAGGCCAATTGGGACGTTTCGTCTTTAGTCGCGTCTAAACAAATGCAATAATATAATAACAAGTGCAATCGTTCCAATTATATCTATCTTTTTTACTCACGCGTTTATCCCATCTTTTGTACTTTTCATTAATGCTACTTGTCAAGATGTGTGTGTACTATATCGGTAGGTATGTAGATATATATGGCGCGATCAGATTTGAAGAGTCAGTTACTATGAAGATAACATATCTGTTGTATAAAAAATCATTGGTTGTATAGCTTAAGCTTCGATAAGGAAAGAAACGATGTGAGTGAAAAAATAGAAGCTATTTTATTTTATACCTTTTTCCTGTTCTCTGCGTATATACACTGCGCGAGGCTGCGATGCCGCGAGGGGGCTTCCTCGGGCTCCTCAGCCCTCGCTGGTTTGGAGGCGGACTGCTGCAGTTCCTCCTGTTTACGCTTCAGCTTCGCAAGGGATGTCTCCACCAGCGCCATCTCTCGATCCACCTACGGAATTAATATTTAGAAATGACGTTATCAAGAAAAAATACTCTAAATGTACATTTTTCTAAGCTTATTGGCAAATTTATCCAATAAGCTAAGTTTGTTTGAACAATAAGCGTTCCGAAAAACATAGTATATACTAAAAAAACTAGACAGGCACCGCGGTTTCACCTGTATTTAAATTGAGAAAGGATGAAACATGTGGATTGTCTACTTTGCTTCGCTGTTAGCAAAGGTCACTTATGCACAACTTTCGCTGTGCGTATATTTTGCTATTGTGTATGCGATAGTGAATGAAAAATACATTCTGGATCGAATTTATGTACCTAGTATTCGGTCTTAGTGAGTGAAAAAGCTACTTCGAAAACGAAATAGGTATTTGAAGTTCATCGCACAGACAGTTACTGTAAGTACATATTTTCTATAAAAATAGTGGTTAATTAATTTCAAAGGTTTTTTTTTATTGCTCAGATAGGTGGACGAGCTCACAGCCCACCTGGTGTTAAGTGGTTACCGGAGCCCATAGACATCTACAACATAAATACCGCTATCCACCTTGAGACATGAGTTCTGAGGTCTAAAAATATGGATAGTCCCAAAATGTAACAAATTCGTGATTACCTTAGATATTTGCTTAAGGAGAACATCTTTAGTGGTCCGGAGCGTCTGGTCCTCGCCGGAGGTCTCCGAGGGCGGGTTCGGCGAAAGCACCTCGACCGTGTTGTAAGTGTTCACCGGTTCCTGAGAAAACGCCGGGGATCCAACTATTACAAAGAGTAACATGCAGCCGTAATCTATCGTTAGATATTTTGAAGGGTTCGGGGTCAGAACTCACAAGATAATTCTCAACCATTAAAGTTTTTTTTTTCCTTTTTACCCCAGATAGCCTTGAGAGGCTGTTTCAGCTTCTCCTTGACGTGTAGGTGAGCTCACGGGGCTCAAACCGGGAGTGCTGCTAACACTGGCCCTAGCAAGAGCAGTGCTTCGCGGAATCTACCACCAGATCGGATACGCGACCCACTGAGAAGATGCGGTGAGAAACTCAGTGGGCTGTGTGTACGGGTTAATTTACTCGTCGAGTCTTTCGTCGCAAGCGACGAGTTCAGCGAGGACGGTGACCGGTGCTAATATTCATAAGAAGAATGTAACGATGCGTAACTATAAACTGTATCTAAAACAATCATTTACATTTTACATTTTTGCCGTAACTAAATAGTTTTCTTTTACAATTTTTTTTTAATTGCTCGTGTAGGCAGACGAACGTACGGCCCATCTGATAGTAAGTGGTTACCGTCGCTCATGGACATCAGCAATGCCAGGGGCAGAGCCAAGCCGCTGCCTACAAATTAACACTATTCCCCTGTTCCGATAACGTTATGTATTTATTACTTGCTACCTAAGCGTAATCGAACATTTTATGCCGATACTAAATAATAATTGTGCCGAATAGCGGGATCGGCATAAAACTAACCAATTAAATTCATAAGCGTTCGAATTTTTTTATTACATTTATTTGTGGACGTTCTCACGGCCCATCTGGTGTTAAGTGGTTACCGAAGCCCATAGACATCTACAACGTAAATGCCGCCACCCACCTTGAGATATGAGTTCTAAAGTCTCGGTATAGTACATGTGCTGCCCCACCCTTCAAAGTATTTTAGATCGAAATTATCACAAGTTTTATTGTTTTATCAATATACGTCGCTACGTCTGTTTTCTGAGAAAATAGACATAGATATTAACGAGTGATGTGACTGTGATTTATATCTGAACATATCCGGAGCATGTGTGTAGTAGTCCCTGCATACTGGCGCTTAATTTTATTAATCAAATACCAGTATCTTCTGAGATGGTTTATGAGTCGTTACAACGAGTCTTTGATGTGACAATTATTAAGTTTTAGCGTCCTTAGACATCAAAGATAAATTAACGTTACATATCATTGTAGAAACTAAAATAATAATTCGCAATTTTATTTAATAATTTTAAATTTCCTTATTTTTCAACCTTTGTTTTCCTACCTATTCTAGTGACCTCGAAGGGTTATTTTAAATTCATTGAACTAAATGATTTTTAAACCTTGTTCACGTCTAGAATAATTTCTACGTACGATCTTGTACTTAATAATCAATCCTACCGGGTTTAATAGCAGTCTATTTGTTTTAATAACAATATCAGGATTGTTGTGCATATCAACTTCAACCATTGAGGCGTTTCAAAGTAGGTGTCACCGCGTTATTAAAAACTTAAGCCGAAAACCCTGGTCAGTTTTAAGGGAAGTAACGATATTTAACTAAACTAATTATAATATCGAGGGGTGAAAGGCAGTTTGGTTTATGTGACAATTTTGCAACTTTACAGGAGAGCCATTTCGAGTTTAAAATTTGGAAAAAATATCATAACAAATAAAACTTCAGCTATTTGAAGGGGGTTAGCTTAATTGAAGTTCAATTAAAAACATCGAACTGTTGATGCTAATCTATACTAATATTATGAAGCTGAAGAGTTTGTTTGTTTGTTTGAGCGCGCTAATCTTAAGAACTACTGGTCCGATTTGACAAATTCGTACAGTGTTAGATAGCCCATTTATTGAGGAAGGCTTATAGGTTACATATAACATCACGGTAAGACCAATACAAGTGAAGCACCAATAAAGAATGTTTCAAAATAGGGGTTTAAATAGCTCCTTAACATTCTACAATTCAAAAAAAATTTTCACTTTCTACGTAAATGAAGTGGGGGGTTAAATTTAACGTTATGCCAAAGTAACTATTCCACGCGGACGGAGTCGCGGGCAAAAGCTAGTAACAAAGAAAACAGAGCTTTAATTACATAGATAAATGTCACGTATTGAAAGAAATGACGCTTAAACCAAATAGCCTTTCACCCCTAGATGTATGTATATAGAGGTTGATATAACAATGTTTTTTTTCTATTAATAAACAATGTTATCCTTGTGCGGTCACTTTAATTATTCCTTATTTTGGGGTAAAAGGGCAAAGGAAACGTTTGAGTGAATGGATTTAAAGGAGGGAAACTTGAACTTATTTTATGAAGACTTTTGTACCCTTATCCAGTTTGGTACACCTTAGAAGAATATTGAAAAAGAAAAGTTAATAAAATTATTTGTATTTGGTAAAAGTTTTTTTTTTCATTGACCAGCATTGAGTTAATCTTCTAGACTTCTGCTGTTTTCATTTATGCTTGCTTCTCAGCCGTCTTTTTCTTGAAATTTTATTAGGAAGTTGACGGAGAGATGTTACTTACTTCTTCTTTGTCGCCACCTTATCCCACTAGGTGGGGTCAACACAACGAATTTTTCTATTCCATTCTCTTCTATCAGCCGTCATCTCAACACTCACTCCTTTCTCTCTCATATCGTCATTCACACACTCCATCAATGTCTTCTCCATCCATGTCTTCTTCGGTCGATCTCTTCCCCCTCTACCTTGCACTACCATTTCCATACGTCTATCCATTCCTACCATCCATACACCTATTCCATATATCATCCTAGTCACATACATCATCTCTCTACGCATCACATGTCCATACCACGCTAAGCGTCCGCTCTTTAATTAATTTTTAGTTTAATATAACTAAGCAACTATATGTGGATATATTGAAGATTGTCGTGAGTGCATTATGGTTTTTTGTTAAATTATAGTCCAGCATCTATGATTTTAACTTTGTTATCTTTAGATACTTCTTCTGTGCGTGTGTTTGTCACTGAACTCCTAAACGGCTGGACCGATTTTAATGAAATTTTCTGTGTACCTTCCGATGGATTCGAGAATGGTTCAGATTTACAAATCAGCCCGGCAGATGGCGCTGCAGTCGGTATCTCGGTTATTTATCTTTCCTAGAAATAATTTATAAGCCAAAACAACGTCTGCCGGGCCAGCTAGTGATTTTATAGAAGCTCATGTAATACTCACTCTAGTATCAACCCTGAGGGGCAGGTGATGAGTCAACTGCGTGATGGGCGCACGTTCAGCTGTAAGACGGATCTTCTTGAAGGGGGGAGGGTCGGCAGGGGGCGGGTGATGAGACGCCGGCGCGGGGGGCGGGAGGTACGCGGCGCCGAGCAGGGACATTCGACCCCCGCTGCGGTACTCTCCCACCGCACCACCGCTTCGGGCGTAGCTTCCATCCCTGGAACAGGAGAAACCAATACGTCAGTTTTTGTACCAACATTACCATGTTTTTGATACGCTTTTATTAGCTTCAGATATATGTATGTATGTTAGTATGTAACGGAATCTTTGAACATGATTATAACCCGCTTCAAAACGTCGGATTAACTCGGAATTTAGTATAGGTACTTATTAAGGACCGATGACAATTCAATATTAATAAAAAATTTCAATTAAACTAAAAAATGAAAAATAAATATGTAATAGTTTAAAAAAATCTAAAAAATACGCTTTTATAGAAAATCCCACTAAACAATAGAAAATAAATGTCAATAAATTTGAATCAAAAATAGTGTAAGAAAAAAATATTTTATTGTAAAAAAAGCGTGAGGTGCATGGTATCAGTAGTTATCAATATTTTATGAACAGATATGAGTAGAAGGGGTATTTTGATAATATCCTGAAAAGCACCCCATGCTTTTTTTACAGTAAAATTATTTTTTTCTTACATTTTTTAATTCAAATTTAATAAGATTTATTTTCTATTTTTTTGTGGGATTTTCTATAAAAGCGTATTTATTTAGTTTTCTTTTTAAACTATTATTTATTTTCTCTCTTGACAAGTTAACATGTCAATGCGTTCCAACGGTTTATGTTTCATTCAGGAGTGGTCACAGAATGTCTGATGAAGAACGTTTACCATAACTGTATGTCTTCATCTCTGGGCGGCTGGAGGGTGCGCGCTACATCATACATTATACATGAGTGAATAGTGATCAGGGCAGGCGTTGGGTCAGTCAACATGTAGTAGCTAGTTTTATTTTATTTTAGATGTTAATAACTCTCATAACGGTAAACGAAAAAGAAATTCATAACTAGCAACAACTATAGTCTATTTATATATCTTATATATCTTTAAACGAGCAATTCCTGTATATAAATATATGTATAATCTGAATCGCGGAAACGGCTCCAACGATTTTCATAAAATTTAGTACACAGGGGATTCCGGGGCAATAAATCGATCTAGCTACGATTTATTTTCAGAAAATGTTGTTTTATTCGTGTTTTCAATAATCAACTTTATCGATAATTTTGATTTTTTCTTGAAATAACCAGTTCATATTTTTTATTATTCTGTCGGTAAGATCGAAAAATATTATTCATATTTCACCATTTTATTAACATGTAATTCGTGTTTAAATTTAATTTCTAATAAATACAATTTGTCAAAAAAAAATACCGTCCAAAGCTAGTAGTGCTAGTGATCTATAATTTATTTATAAAATTGTGAAGTAATTTTTTTTTCTGTTCTGTTTGTCCAGCAATTTTTTTTAACGCAAATAAATGATGAGCTTTTTTTCTTTAGCAATACAAAATGGCGTTATTACGTGAATAGGCATTATTTTTTTTTACAATTCAACACAACTAAAGTAAAATAACCAGAGTAAGTAATCTACAAATTACTTTTTGGCACTGTATAATAACAATGTTCTATTTCGCTCTATTATAAAGGTCAAATTTTTCAAAATTAAATCTCATGATGTAAGAGAGGAGAGATAATAATAGTAATAACGAGAGAAGAGTCCAAACAAATAAATAATAATATAATTCTTAGATAAATTGAAATCCGGTAGAAATGTGGAATGGATACCAAGTTTTTTTTATGTTTGAGAAGTTACTGGTGGCCCGGAGGCCTTCCCAGTTTTACCAGTGCAGGAGGGGTGGGATTTGCTAACGGCTACCCGAGCGCCTCCAAAGAAGACCTAACGACTCCAGAGTAGCTATTTCGCGAATGAATCTACTCCCGGATCGGAATCGCGACCCGCTGAGAAGATCCGGCGAGAAACTAAGCGGGCTGATGTTTAGGTTAGGAGGATACGAGGTATGCATTAGAGATTTTCGGAAGAGCTATTTTCAGTTGTTAGACACTAGATGGCACTAAAATAAAAATTCCATTAAACTTTAAAAACCAATGAAATGCCGTTGTGAATGTCCTTTGAAGCCCTTGTAGGCAGACGAGCAGACAGCCCATCTGATGGTAATTAGTCCTCGCCCCTCTTCGACATTAGCACTCCGGGGAACAGCCAAGGCATTTGAAAAATATTTTTTTATTATTACTTAAAATATAGAAATCATTGATGCAATCATCTTTTTTTGTCACTACACTAAAAGATGGACAGGTCAGATTTTTATATATTTTTTGTCTTTTTTTTATTGCCCTTGTAGGCAGACGAGCATACGGCCCAGCTGATGGTGAGTGGTTACCGTCGCCCGTGGACATCAGCAATGCCAGGGGCAGAGCCAAGCCGCTGCCTACTGCTCTCTTTGAACATTGAAATTATTTCCGGTACCTAGTCAGCGCTGCGATCGACTTTTACGTAATTTCCCTTTTGTCCCAGGCAGGTCGGTCTGTCCGGGCCGCGACAATATAATTCAAATATCAAAACTAACATGCTATTGAAGAAACTTTCCATGATCGTGAACATTGAAACAAAATTGTGTTGAAATACGAGTTATTTTTCGTTAAGTTTTTTTCTAATAGCACAACACATGCCGTATTAGAATGTAGTTTTATTTTTTATTGCTTAATAATATCAGAGAAATAGTGAGCCAATTAGTGGAATGTGTTAGTAATTTGACCAAGAAAATATAACTTAGCTAGTGTAATACTTGTCAGATTTATTTACAAACATACAAAATGTCAATTTCTTTTATCAAAAATGTAGTAGTAATATTTTTATTTTTTTCAACTGGAAAGGCAAAGGTATCAATACCATACAGCCTATTCTTTTATATATATTTTTATATGAAAAATGATATTATAAAATGAAATAAAATTATATGAAATGAGATGAGATGATATGGTATGAAACATAATCTCAGTAAAATTGTGGTCATTTACTGAGACTTTTTGGAGGATCCCGAGAAGTTACGTTCAGCGGCTTTATTTAATTTTCCCACATTTGTGCAAATTCACAGGTACTAAGCAATTAATAAATCACCGTTATTACACATTTAAACCCGAAGTAACATTAAAAAGACAAATTAAAACAAATCACACAACTTCACTCCCCGCGTTCCCGCCAAAAGTCCCTATCAAAAATACCTTCAACTTCCTTCTATGTTTCAAACAGGCAGAGGGCAATAAACTCGTGATCATACGGCGTGTCACAGAGTAAATATAATCAACTATAAATTTAATAATTCGAGTTTAATTAAATATTTTTTTATTTAGTGTTCATTTACGTGAGAAAATTACCCAAACATGGTAATTTGCACGTGATGTGATATTCAAAAAATGTACACGACCAATTGAAACTGTATACACGACAAAATAATTTCAATTTAAACCTGCAGCAATAATATTTTTACTGACCTACGTTTTATTGATAGTTCCCGTTAAATTTACGATCGGCTCATGTCTGGTTTTAGAATGTTAAATTATTCACATTTTTAGCAATTACATACAGATCATTTACATGTTTTATGTAAATCATTAATTAATTAAGCGTCGGAAAATTCTGTCTTTATGCCTCCGAAGCCACGATTTAAATAAGTCAATAGGGAAAAACTAAATTAATAATTCCTTTGAACGAAATTTCGAAGTCGTCATGACCTAAAGGATAAGACGTTCGGTGAATTCGTATCTAGCAATGCACCGGTGTTAGAATCTCGCAGGCGGGTATCAATTTTTCTAATGAAATACGTACTTAACAAATATTCACGATCGACTTTCACGGTGAAGGAATAACATCGTGTAATAAAAATCAAACCCGCAAATTTATAATTTGCGTAATTACTGGGACCTCTTGGGAGTCCGCTCGGGTAGGTATCACTACCCCTATTTCTGCCGTGAAGCAGTAATGCGTTTCGGCTCGTAGGGTGGGGCAGCCGTTGTAACTATACTGAGACCTTAGAACTTACATCTCAAGGCGGATGACGCATTCACGTTCACCGTTCATCACCGGATGATCTGTGAGCTCATCCACCCATAGAAGCATATTTTTTTTGTAGCTTAATCTTTGTTACAGCATAATTTCTATTCTTACTGCGTGTCTGATCGACGCGACATGGTACGCGAGTCGCGAGAAGGCCAAGGTTGCGGCGGGCGCGCGGGGCGGGGGGCCGCTAACTGTAGCAGCGTCCATGTTTATTTTTTTATTGTTATTCGTGAAACGTCTCGCACTTTCAGAGCACGTGGTGAGCAACGTGGCGGACTGAATCGAACGCCATGCATAAACAATTAATAAAATCTGGCTTCTCTGTTCAACTGATCAATTAGGTACACTCTAATATTTATTGTGTGACTATTAAAAAAAAGAACGAGAACGAGTTCCGTAATTATTTTTTTTATTGCTTATGTGGGTGGACGAGCTCACAGCCCACCTGGTATTAAGTGGTTACTGGAGCCCATAGACATCTACAACGTAAATGCGCCACCCACCTTAAGATATAAGTTCTAAGGTCTCAAGTAATATGTTTTATTTTATTCTTTCATAATGTGTTAATTATTTTGGACGTGGAAAATAGAGTATAATCACAACTTAGACAAAACAGCACGAGTTTTAATCAAGATATTAAGAAAATGCCACATGTTTGCATGTAAGATTACCAAAAAATTTATTTGCGGAAAACAACGAATTTATTCTACAAAATTCTTCGAATAGGATTTAGTAACGAATGATTCATGATTGTTTCTTCATAGTGCCTTCTACCTACGGTTAGGTAATGTGTTTTTGCTATCATTTTTGTATATAAAATTTAAATTAATTAGGTCAAGTCGTAATCATCATCGTCCTCTATATAGCGACTTTTACGTTTACTATGGACTAATGGTTTAATCTTTGCTATATATATTTTTTCCTAAACCGAGTAGAGTGGAAAGAAATGGCGACCTTTGCCAACGTTGGGCAAACAAACAAAGTTGTCGATGTAATCAACTCGGCAGAGTCGTTAATTCAAGTTTATTATTTCTAAATATCCTTTTTGCGTCTGAATAAAGGCTTTTATTATTTT